AAAATAGGCACAACGTTTGGCTGATTGGTCGAGTGGTTGACAGATGCTCGTCGGTTTTGCTCATTCTCATCAAAAGCTGCTTGTGTACATGAGCATCTGTGCTTGCGCGGCCTTTGTTTTCTATTGCTTGAACAGCCCTTGTTAGAATGACCTATCCAGTTTTCCGCAGAAATGGCTGAATCACGACAATTGCTGATCGAATTCAGCATCTATTTCCGGAAGCAGAACAGCTGGGAAGCTCCCAAGTGGTGCAAAGCATCTGGGCACGGTGCATGCTGCAACTACACAACATGAACTTCACAGTTATCTTTCTGGCCCAAGTGTACTACAACTTATGTTTTGCCTTGGTGCTGCAAGTACCTGCAGGTTGAGCTGGAACTTTCTTGATGGCTTTTCAGCTGGTCAGTTCGGTCGGGTGTTTCCAAGCCACGCATTTCAGGTGGAGGGTCCGTAGTCGGGGAGCCAAGAATCAGGTCGCCAGCTTTGAGCTTATTTTCGACAGGAAAATGGTCGTGGACCCCGTCAGGGAGGTCCAGGAGGGCAAACCTTTGGCACGTTCTCGCCCGAAAAAGACCCTCAAGTACATCGCGTTCAATTTAAAGTTGGCAAAAGAGACACCGCATCAACTCACACATCGCATGTCTCGGCTCGTTTTGGTCCTTTCAGGCCTTAATTGGAGCCTTCTGACACCCATGGCTCCAACAACCATTTGCCGCGCGCGTTGTTCGTTGCACGGAATAGCGGGGAGTTGCAGCGAGGTTGCTTGAACGTAAAGTTGCCGGCACAAGGCCATTCTGATTCAATTCCTCTTAGCAGGCGTGTGACCAACCAAGCAACCAATAGCGTTATTGAATTGCCAATCTGACACCGTCTAAAGGCGACAGCACTGTCCCCAAAATGAGACAACCGACTTCCAAGCGGCTTATTGGGGTCGGATCCTATAGCCTCGCCGAAAGCGAATTGACCTTTTGACCTTTTGGTTCCCCCCCAAAAAAACAAACGAAGAAGAAGAAGAAGAAGAAGAAGAAGAAGAAGAAGAAGAAGAAGAAGAAGAAGAATAGAAACAAACAAGGAAAGAAGAAAACACCACAAAAGCAAACACATAGTCCATATTGGCTTCCGCCAGGCTTCCCCCAGGCTTTTTCCAAGGTCATATGGCGACTGCGGGGAAATGTGCCTCCTCCCTACCCTCGCATCTCTCGACATGGCGCGCGTCGGCCCTTGCGTGGCCAAGGCTTGGCCAGCGCCTGGGGCCAGCCTGGAGCCAAGACGAGGGTTGGCCCAAGTGGGGATAGATTTGGCTGTGGTTGGCAAAACCGTTTTGGGATCCCATTTTGGGGTAGGTGAATTGACCACCCGTTTTAGGTTTCCTATTTTAGTGGGGATAGATTTCTTGGTGGCGGTTCCTAAGCTTCTTAGCTTGGGATTTTCCATTTCGCCACGAAAGGTTAAATACTTTTGATCCGGAGGATCTGAGGACGGCCCTTAGTTTTGCGCACACGCAAAAGAGAATCGTCCGGAGGAGTAGTTGTTTTTTTCTTTTTTTCCGGATCCCATGCCCCTTTTCGGGCCCCCATTCGCAGGATCAAAGTCTCAAACTAAGCAGAAAAAGCAAGCATGAATTCTACCTTTTTTGCCAACTCATTGTCATCACCTAATAGGTAAAGTAAGACAAGATACCTAACATTAGTGTTTTTCCACTTTTTTAATACATGCCCATTTGGGGAAGTTTGTTGACCGTGTCTCAATCGTAGCTTAGCCGTCAGAGACTGAGAACGGAAGCAGCTCACTGCGCAAAGCGATCTTGGAGCCGCTTGGTTTAGCCCAATCACCTGTGAAGCGCTGGGAGCAACGAAGAGGAACTTATAGGAAATACACATGCCTGATACCTTCGCGAATCGCAAGTTGAAAACACGACTCGCGCATCACGGCCCAGTATAGCTGGTTGACTTGCAATATTCAGGAAATCGACGGTCTTACCCGGCCCCACAGTTGAGTTCAGGCCTGTCTCGCGCGTTGCAAAAGTAATTCCTCTAGCCAGCGACGTTGCTGTGGTGGCTTCCCGGATGTTTGTTGATACGAGCAAGGCATGCTACGAATCAGCGGGTTCAAATGTTTCTCCTGTCTGGGTTGCTTCCGTCACCTGAAAAGGGTCTAGACCCTGGCACACGCACACCCCCCACCCACACACGCAAGGCTCATGGTAGCGAGAGCCTTGCAACCGACTGAGAGCCCGTCGACTTGGGAAGCGGACCTTGACGTTGCAAAACGACCTATGAGCACAGTTATTTTCCCTCAAGGGGGTTCGTTGTACAATGTCAACAGTCCATATTCATATCCTGTCCTAAGACAACAGTTACTACTCAGACTACTCAGACTTGCGACGGGTCACTCCACGGGATCCTTGCCCTGCGATCAAGTTAACGCGAAAAAGCATCGAGGGGATCTCATGAGGTGATTGGTTCCCTTAAAGTGACCACTTCGAGGGGATCTCATCACTACTTTTGGGGTTGGTTCCTTTTGGAGACAAAATTTGAGGATGTCACTTTACTGGATCGGGGTGATGGGAAATGCGGCTCAGATTGTGACCCAACCCTCGTTACGACAAGCTGTTTGTCTCCTTGTCACCGACACATGGCCTGGCCTCGCTTCCTGGATTCCTCTCCCGTCGGGTTCTTGGGCTCTGGACATTCCGAGACGTTTCCTTTCTCCATGGCAGATAGCGTTGGCAAGGGCGAAAGCCTTTCTAGGGGCTGTTCCCCTCCAGTTTCTCATGATTCCCCACTGAACCCAAAAACAGTCCCTAGGAAGCAACAAGGGGTTTATTCATGTGGGGGGAACCCCATTGGGTTCCTTTGTCTTCTCAACACCAACTATCAGCTCCAATTGGTTGGAGCCGAATCGGTGGTTGGGAACCCCCAGTTGCCCTCTGCAGGCAGCGCCAGGGGTTCAATTCCAACCACAAATCCAGACCACCAACTAAGTGACCTGAAACTTTCCAGGGGTTCCCCCCAAAACCAAACGCCCCCTGTGTTATTGGCTGATGTTGGACCACCACTTAATCAATCTTCCATTTGCTTGAGAATATATTTTTCCCCCTGTTGGTTTGAAAGGGAAGCTATCTCTACTTTTTTTTTTTTTTAAATTTAATAATATTCTGGAGACTAAACACAAATGGTAGTTTGGAGGTATAGTTCCCTGGTGATTTCTCTGGGGTCCTTCCGCTGCGACGCAGGTGGGTTCTCTCCTACTGGACGGCGCTTTGGCTGGGCTCCTGGGCGAGCCGCCGGCGGACTGCCGGTGAATCCACGGACTCCAAGTTGGGTTCGTCTTTTCTCAGGTTGGACACAGGGCTCCGAATAAAAGATCGATAGATTCTGCAACCATTTGAAACATGTTGCTTTTTCAACACCAAAACAAAGGGAAACCAGCATTTACAAGTTGCAATGTTCAGGTCTGTATAATGTAAGGATCCCGGTTAGACCGGTTTGCTTTTGGTGTCCTTTTAGTTGTTCGAATGTTTGATTTTTTTTCAGGTTGGACCACTCGAAATGGTGGTTGTTGTCCTTTGGTGTTTTTCTTTGAAACCGGCCAAGGAAAGAAACACAGCACATCCAATATGAGTGTTTGCAACTTGCGTTTGGGTCTATCTTTTCTTGGAGGCTACCCTTTTCGGGTGGTTGTGAAGGGAAACCAAAAAAAGCCCGACCACTTTTTTGGGGTCCCCTCAAAAGCCACACCCAGTTGGGTTCGCATTCCTCCCAAAGGAAGCTTCTGAACTCTAGGGGTACCTCCCCCATTCTTTCCAGGGATCCTTCTTTCTAGAAAGCCTCCAGAAGCCGTTTTAAGGCTGGTTTTCGAACAGAACGATGGTTGAAAAGAATGGGGACACAACCCCTAGATGAACCGGAGAGCGGCAAACCCGCAGCTGGGCTCAAATGGCCATTCGCATGAAGGAGAAGGCTCACGCAGCTGGATGTCCTTGATGTCGACCCAGGGATGTTTCCCAGTCCAGGCTCTCCGTTAGGCATCCCGAGCAACCGGGCAAAAGCCAGCAGGTCTGCACAAGAGCCACAGCATAGAGTTGAGGAGCTCTCCTGAACGAAATTGGGCGCGTTTTTCTTTTTGAGGGCGTTGTTTTAGCGGGAAACTACAGGGACACCGCTTGTTCTTGGGGGTGCCGGCAAAAAAGACAGACCCATTCGACGAATTGCCGAGTCGGGTTGATATTGCCGATGTCTTCCAAATTCTGTAGGACATGTAGGATGTGAGGAGAAGCGCAGCGTGTTGCTGATGGGTCCGGTTTGCAAAACATTCAGACGTGATTCATGTAATATTCCTTCGAGACTTGCAACCATATTGGGCCGTGACATGTCCCTCACATTTGCAAGAGTGAGCTTGGAGTGAGTGGTTGCTGCAAAGGCTGTAGTGTGAGCTTGTAGGAAGCAACACCAGCAGCGTCAGCAACAGCAGTGGATTTTTTCCAAGTCGCATGGCGAGTTGGCGCTGGATCATTTGCGCCCTACAATGCCATGCTGCAAGGTGCCTTGGCGAAAGTTGTGTAGAGGCGATCAGGTGCGGTTGCAAGGTTGGCGATAGGGTATTGGCAATATTGGCAAGGGTGCGTGCTGATGTTTGCAAACATCACAACCAGTTTGCAGACGTGCAAAAGCGATGATTGTTAAGATTCCAGACTTTGGTTTCAAGATGTGCCAGGCAAGCTAGGCATGTGCAGCGCTGAAACAGCTGAGTGTAAAGTCCCAGCATTGTTGAGCCTACGGTTGATTCCCTAAATATAGCAACTGGTTCAACGACATCCACCCATAAAAACCATGGTAAATGTTCCTTACTTCCATTCTTTAGGGAATCAGCCGTAGGGCATTCTTCTCAAGCACATTTCTGGCGGCTCCGGAGCCGTCGCACGCGCTGGAACCCGGCTGGGGCCTTGGAAGACAATTTTCCTCATGTCATGAATCCTTTGGCGGGCTCCTGGACGTTCCATGTTGTTGGGAGAGTCAGGATTGGTTTGGGGATTTGAGTCCCATTTTCTTTCAAGCAAGATCCAACCAAACCAAACCACCAACCAGGGGGAGGGTGATAAGTTCATTGGGGGTTTCTCAAAATCAGGGACCATGTTGGTTTCACAGGGAATCTGAACGAAACCTTGATGCTCCGGTTTGAGCCCCCCCCCACGAAGAAGCTGGCCCGAGGATCGGAATCGTCACCATGCACTCGCCCAACATCATGTCCTACGCCAATGCGACGGAAGTCGCCAACCGCCGCTACGCGGAGCGGCACGCCTATGGCTTTCATATCCTGGACCACCCAATCGACACCTCCAGAGTCCCTCATTGGGCCAAGCTCCACGCCGTGCCACCTGCCGAAAACAAATTTTAGGCCCTTCCAGTTGCTGAAGAATGTTTTTGTATTTCCCTTGTTGGTTTTAATAATAATTTATCACTGCTGGACATATTTTTACTTTTTCCAGGGGTCTTAACCAAATGGAAGTGCCGAAATCGTCGCCTGGAAGAGCTCTTTTGTCCGTGTGAATGGACAGAATCTGCCAACACTCACATGGGATAGATAAAGCTCGCTGAATACTGGTCGATCAATTTCCCATCCCAACTGGTGCGAAGCAAATTTTGTCCATCCACAGTCTGTCAAGAGCAGATATGAGATTTGGTCAACCGTGCCAGTAGTCTACGGTCGAAAGTTCTCCCAGCCAGGGGGCTCTCTAGTTTGCACGTGTTCATGGAGACTAGGTCCCCCAGTGCGCCGTTTTACCTTTTTTTTGGGAGGGTTCCCCTACTAAAATAGACTACAGAGAAAGGGGTACCCTTATTCTAACCTCTCTACTGTACTGGAGGACCTAGGAGAGTTTGGCATCTTTTTCACAAACCTCGTTCCTGATTCAGCGGAATCCAACGAGCCTTTTTCCTAGCATGTTCAGCCAACTCTTGGGCCAAGGTTGATACACCTGGCAGACTACGATTACGTCTTTTGGATCGATGCAGATGCCATGTTCTATGACTACCTGCGGCGACTGGAAGATGCCAGCTAAGCCAGACTTAGCGAAAGTTTGCCTTTTCAGCTGTTCTTTGGCACGCTTTGACATCAGCTCAGTGGGGATGCATGTCCACCAAAGACTATGAGATGGTTCCAACTCTGAAAAAGCAGAGTTTTTTTTAACTAATGAACACCCCCTGTTAATAAACCCCTGTTTATTAGTATGGGGGACTGGGGTTGAGTAATAGGGGGTCAACATTAGCCAGTGACACCTTTTGGGTCGGCTGAGGTTTTAGAGATCCGTTCCGGCGATGAGATCTGGATCCAGGAGCACGGCTCCGACTTCCCCTCGCTGCTGCGGAAGGAGGGAGGATTGCTGGGAACTGGGAAGTATGGTTGTCGTTGGGAAACCTTTTGCATTTTTGCTTATTGAGGTTTAGTGGGAAATCCCCACTTAACTGCTAAAAAATATCTTTTTGCTCCCCTTCCAACGTCAACCAAGTAAATATGGCAAGTGCAATATCGAACCACAAAACCCCCTGAAGCTGCGGTAGATTACAGGGTTTTCGCTTCCCCCCCCCTTCCAACCCAACCACAAAGCACTCCGAAACTGCGGTAGACTACAGGCAATAAGGTCTTTATCAACGAAATTCGTGTGCAGCTGGCGGTACAAATTTAGGAACGGTAAAGGTGCATATCTTCGGTTTGTGGGCCGAGAGTTCAACTGGTGGGAGCCAGATAGAGTTGTTTTTGCACCAGCTACTTTGCACAACACCCTCTGAAACTGCGGTAGACTACAGGGTTTCGCTTGATGCTCTTGCTTTTTTTGGGGCGCATCCACCGTATCCAACTACAATGGAAGTGGACGAATGGAAGTGGACGACCGGAGGGGCTGGGCAACTCCCATCTTCAAAAAGCCTCATGTTCACTTTCATGCGTGGAGGGTGAAGTGCTCTGTGTGTGTGTGTGCATTTGTGTTGTCTGTGTGTGTGTGTGTGCGTGGGCGTGCGTGCATGTGCGTGTCTGTGTGTCTCGGAACTGGGGACCCTTCCAAACGGCCGGGATTGCTTTTGAGAGTAAACAGCCCGCAAAAACCCCACCTGGGTGTGTCTGTCCCTTTTCTTTTGGTGGCCTAGGGTCTCCTTAACCACCGTGAGGATAATTTGGATGTCACTTTAGCTAGGTCCCCCAGTAGTGCCCATTTACCCTTGTTTACAGGGAGGGTTCCCCTACTAAAATAGACTACAGAAAAAAAGGTACCCTTATTCTAACCTCTCTACTGGAGGACCTAGTTTGGAAACCCTGCTGGTTTCCCTTCAAAATCGACCAAGGGGAACCCGTCCCGATCTTTTTCCTCCTGCCGTTGCGGTTTCTTTCACCCAGGGTTCCTTAAAAGATACATTTTGCAACCATTTGAAACATGGTTCTTTCCACCAAAATAAAGGGAAACCACATGTGCAAGGCAATGTCTAGGTGTATAATGTAAGGATTCCTGAGAAGACTCCGATCCCCCCAAAAATGGCGGGCTCTTAGGTTCTATGTTAGACTGTGGACTGAATGCTGCGTAAACCAGGGAAAACCCGAAACATCATGGAATTTTACCAGGGCGACAGTAGACGCCGCAATTCCCTTTGTGTGGGTAAGTAAATGGGATGACCAAACCAACATAGGGCAATGGTGCCATCGACTTTGATCCGCACTTTGGTTTATGGTCTCAGTTGTTCAGTGGCCCCCTTTTTCCTTTTTTTTGGTGGCTGCCCCACTAAAATGGTCCAAGCCCAAAAAGGGCCCTTTTTTTCCCAGGGTCACTGAACAACTGAGTGGTTGGCAGCTGCAGACTTCGGGAGATCGCCAGGAGTTTCTGGATGGCAGCTGCATCCTCTTCAAGAACTCGGCCTGGACGCGGCAGTTCATACTCGAGCTCTACTATTACCCCCCGTGCCAAAGTGCCCAGGCTTGAGATGAACCTGGACCCCAAGCCATCATTTGTTGAGGAATCTCCTTTTGGGGGGGACTCCTGTGTGGGGTTCCATCTTAAGTTGCAGAGTACTTGTGTCAGTTCACACCTGCAAAGCAGACCTACACAACATGTCCTTGACTCGACCACCACCACCACCACCACCACCACCACCACCACCACCACCACCACCACCACCACCACCACCACCACCACCACCACCACCACCACCACCACCACCACAACCTGCTGCAAGGTGCACTGAACTGGACAGAGCAGTACTGCCTTTGCATGGCCTATGAGGACCGCTCGTTTTGGTGTGGGCTCAGTGCTGGCGGATACACTCAGAGACTTGGGGACTTTGGGATTCTACAACCCAACCCGCCCTAAAGCAAAGGACGCGCCTATGTGGCCATATTTGGCCCTAATAAGCACCCGTAACCCTTGCGGCAGGGTCTTTGGCGCGGGCTAGGGTTCCTTTAGCCCTCTTGTCGCAGTTCTAAGTCATGGTGACAGCCCCCAAATTGCCCACGTGAGAAGGTTGAGCCATACCGCCGGCGATGAGTGACTATGGACAGGCTCCGTTTCTCTTTCGGACTTCTATTCTTCGGCCTGCCCTTTGTTTCCTTTGCCGGGCGATTTTCTACGCCGGAGCGAGCCTGAAGGGAGGGCTGCGTCATAGATCTCACTCTTTTTTCGGGGGGGAGTTGCCCCTGGTGCGTTTTTAGCCACACGCTGCCATACAATGGAATCTCAAAGCGCCTGCCTCGGATCTCGGATGCAAATCGATTCGCCATCCAGGACGACCTGCTGGGCATGCGGGGGCGGACAAAGATTCTGCCCGCGGGGCGTTTGAACCACCACCGCATCCCTGCGCCCGGAGAGAAGGAGGGCGCCTTCGGCGGGTCAAAAACTGGCCATGGGTGAAAATCCGAATCGTGCCCCCCAGTGAACATCCCAATCCCCACTAAGATAGGTTCTAAAATGCGTGGTGCACCCACCCCAAAATGGGATTCCATTGGTTTTGACCCACAGCCAACTGATTCCCATAGAAAGCGATTTGGAGAGGCGCTTTTTACGTGGAATTCACCAACGTTCCAAGCCTCCTGTTGGGGCGATTTGTTAGTTAAGTAACCTTTCAGTAGTCTTTTAATATCCTACATGGGGTGCATCCACAACTACTCGCGATGTTAAAAAGGACCTTAGCTGGGAAGTGATTTTGTTGGGCCCCTGAATTTGAGTTGCAATAAGCAGATGGTTCATTCCCGCAAAACGTGTCCCGCAAGACGATTCCTGAAAGCACCTAATCTGGCACTGGTTGATCAAAGCGCTTTCAAAGGGAATCTGATGATACTGAACAAAGGGAAACACCCCTTTTTTAGGTTCGTTTTGCTTCTTCGCAAAAAAAGTCACCTGAATTGAATGGGAGCTTCACTGACGGCATTTTGGCAATGCTGACCCCAGTTGCAGAGACACCTGCAACATTCTGTCCACCCACAGTCCTTTTTCTAGATCGCAGCGTGGGACCAGAAGCAAACACATGGCAGAATGCTTTGCACGGAAACTTCGGCGTGTGTGATGGACACATCATATGGACCCAAAGAAACAACCATTGCTTAGGCGACCAGCTCCCTGAGCAACAACTTTTTGCCGCAGATCAGCCAATGAATGCAACACAGGAAGGACAAGAATGGACGAATCCAACGAGAAGTTTCCGTGCCAATTCAAATGTTGCGTAACCTGTGGCGTTACTTTTTCTCTCGGGCCTCCATTGATGCGGCGTGTTCTCAGCGACGGCTCTGAGGCTTGTTTATTTTCCATCTTTCTGGGCAGACGGCGGAGCACCGCTCGCTTCATTTCAACCAAATCCTGGAGGGACGTGCCAGGCTGGGGGTTTGATATCTGGGCAAGGCAAATGCGGTGGGTGAAGAGAGTGTCAGGGGTTAGGTCATCTCTCTCTCTCTCTCAATATATATATATATATATACACATATGTGCGCGTGCGGGTATGTGCATGCATACGTGCGTGCGTGCGTGCCTCCTGAAAAGAGGGATCCATATGTAGTAGGCGACCTATATATATATATGTATATATATATATATGTAAATTTGTAGACGATGGGTCCATGTTAAAGATCTTCCTGGGGAAGTATATGCATGCAAAGACAACCTTACACCGCCTCAGAAGGATGCATGGATTTTCCTCAATTTGTTACCGCTTGCAGGGTGGGTTTCCTGGTCCATGGATGTGAGCAAACGTCTGCTGGTCTACCGTGAGTTTTGGGAGGAGAAGAGGGACCACCCAAGACCACCCAAGACCACCCAAGACCACCCAAGACCACCCAAGACCACCCAAGACCACCTGTTGTCCCGGGGAAGCCTTGGTATTTATATTGGTATTTATATACGGGGCTTCGGGCAGTCTCGGTAGGGACATTTCGATGTCAGCACGTTCCGGAGTCGACCCCAATCCCCAGAGACCCCAACCCACGAATCCCAAAGTTGGCCTCTTTTGAACTCCAGGGTATGAAGCTGGGGGGTTCCCCGAAGGAAGCCACCTGGATGGTTGGAAAAGGGTCATTCCCTCATTCTCATCCCCTACCTACAGCAGCATTTTTTATTTTTTTTTTCCGGGTGCTTTCCCTTTGAATTCCCAAAATTGGGTAGACTTGGTTTCCTCAGCCCCACTGGGGTCATTATTTTGGTTCGGTTTCTGGGAGTTCTCAAAGTCAGAAAATGGATTCGGTGGTTTCCCTTTAACCCGGGTGACGTTGACGGTAATATAATGAGGCCCTTTGGTAAGTTTTGAGCCCCAGCAAGTCCTTTTAGCCCCAATCCCCCAAACCCCAGCCCCCACCCCCTAGACTCCTAGACCCCACGCATCCCAACGTTGGCCTCTTTTGAACTCCAGGGACTTCCAAGAGGAGGAGCGGTACCAGAGCTTTTGGAGCTTCCAGCAGCTCTTCCAGGCGCGCGCTCGCGGCTTTGACGGTTTTGTCTGGTGGCAAACCTCTGGGCAAAAGGCACGAGGCCAGTGGCCTTTATGTTTCCTTGTTGTTTTCAGAAGGTTTCCTGCTTTTTTCCATGCTTGCCTTTTTGCCAGCCAGGGGCGCTCACTCTTTGCAGGGTCCCATGATTGGTTTGGGGTTTGAACCCTTGGGTATTGTTGAGTACACATAGGACACCACCTTCGATGTTATGTGTGCTGGCTGCTGCTGCCAGGATGCTCCGGAGCAGGAAGACGCAACGAGCCGTTGACGTCACAGGGACGTGTTTTCACCTGATTCGTGTTGATAGCAAGCGGACACTTCAACAAACTGTTGGTTTTATAAGGCTTGCTTCAGCAAAACTATATGTTCAACCAGGGTGGACTCTAGCCATCATGTTCATGTGACGCCCGCTGCCGGCGCGGCACCTTCACATGAGGTGATTCGTCCAGATGCGTGTTCCGAGGATCACGTGTCCCACTTAGCCAGTTCGTGCTGGACGGTGAACAGAGGTACTAGCTGCATGGGGTTGATGGCTGACTCCTGGCTACTTGCCACTTGCCACTTGCCGCGTTATGAAGCCTTCATCTTGCTGGTGCTCAGCAGGGAATGAGGGAATGCCCCTTATGAACCATCCCTTGGTGTTTCCTTTATATAAGGGAATCCCTGGGTTCATTCCCACATTCCCGACTGAGCACCAGCAAGTCATTCATGATCAGGATCTGCTGCACTGGCAGTTTGTGGCAAGCACTTCATGAGGATGGCCTAGATGCACACACCTTGGGCAGTTTTTCTGCAGCCCTGTTTGAAGATCATGCTCAAGACCAGAAGGGCAGCACATGGATCACCGGTTTCTTTTGGTTTCCCACTGCAGCTGTGCCATGTTCCTACTCTGGGAACAACCCTGGATATACCTTTATTACAGTGGATATATAGTGTCCGAATATACTCATTTTCCCTTGGGCAGTGGACTGGGGTAGTGGAAACCCTCTTAGCTTGTCCTTGCGCGCACCTATCCAAGAGTCCGCTGTGGGTTTTAGAAGACCACAAAAAGCAAACCGAGCCCGACGACCGTTGCAAGGTTAAAAGCCTTCAATGGGTGATCCAGAAGCTCCAGTGGTGATTTGTTTGCTGACTAGATAGCCCGTAGTCGTTCTTTGTTTGTTCCAATAGAACCAACAGAGATTCCTCGTGTTACGATTTTCCAGACCCTCAAAAAGAATACCAAGCTCAGTCTTGGCCAGAAAGGGGTAAATATTGTTAACTCCTGGCTTGGATTGACAGGAACATGCCCTGCAGCTCGTGGCCAGTAAATTGGCTCACCAGTTGACTTGCCAAATTCCATCGTCCCTGGAAGTGGTCGGCATTTTTCAAGATCACTTTTGACCCTGCGTGCCCATGCCTAGTAAGAGGGGCTGAAAAAGTGCTAAGATGGTTTTGGGTTTCATGAAAGTAGACATTTTGAGGGGTTCTGAAAAGACAAAGAGGGTGGTTTCCGCAGAGCACACCGTTGTTGTGATTTTGCGGACGTGACCTTGTTTGATCGCTTCTCTGCTTGTGTGAGCCAGGCGCACAACTTTGGGGAGCTTGCCTCCCTGCACCTGTGCGTTCTGGGCATTGGGGACCGGCACCAGGCCGGGCCTTTCGTTGGGGCCGTGTTTGAATACCAGGACTCGCATTCAATCTCGTTTTGGCGCTTCAGATGTGCTTGGTCAAAGCACCCCTTGATTTTGGGTTGGTGAGAAGGGTTGGGGATTCATGGACTCTTTACTAGGGTGTTGGGCAACAATTATTTGCAAGGGTTGCTACGAACCATGACACTCACATGGGGAGTCACCCACCTGCGCGTTCTAAGGGACCGAACTCTACATAAGGGGGAGGGGAGGTCCTTAGTTAAGCCTAAGTACGTCTGCTCGGTGGGGTTCTTGGTTGGGAGTGCTTTCCCGCATTTGGCGGTCCTTTGGCGCTGTAGCAGTGGGAAAGCGATCTCAAGTTGGTTGCGTCCTGTCATTAATCAGCGAACGGACCGTGCATGTTGCCACTATCATGCCAGTTTTGGGCCCGTTCTCAACACAGTGAACCCCAAAATGGCAAGGGTTTTCTTTTGGTTTTCCTTTAACTGCCAGGCAACAGGGAGTCCACCATTTTGAGAAACTCCCAGATTGCAATTTGGCACATTCGCGTGCGAAGAGGCGTGTCGGCTCGATATGTTTTTCCAGCCCAGCACAAAGGGTAGCCTCCTGCGCTTGAAAAGCCAAACGCGAGGCAGTCTTCATTGCCAGACTTGACTAACCTGTTCGCCCTTTTCCCTTCTGAGTTTGTTCATTTTCCCGTAACCAGCAAACATTTAACTCTTTGCACGGCGCTGGATCCGTGTGGCAAAATATTGGAGTGCTCACTCAGATGTTCATACTGGATGCTGGAGTTTCTCTGCGACCTATGACCCTACCGTTTGTTGTTTCCTCCTTTTTTTTAGGGGGGCTTTTTCTCTGCGACCTATGACCCTTCCGTTTTTTTTTGGGGGGTCAGGCGATGCTTGATGCCATGCTCTTCCACTTCACTTACCTCACAGGCAAGGGGTAACCTCTCGACACCCGGAAGCTCCGGAGGTAGGCTTATAGATCTTTTTAGTACGCTGGAGTGGTCGGGTTCCCATTTGGCTCCCACAAGTTGTTCACTTTTAGCAGGGGATCTGAGAACGTGGCTTTTAGACAGGGCTCCTTAAAAGATACATTTTGCCACCAATTGAAACACCAAAATAAAGGTTGAAACCACCATTTACAAGGCAATGTTCAGGTGTACAATGTAAGGATCCCTGCTAGATCTTATTGGTTGGCTGAGTGGTTGGGTTCCATTTAGCCCACAGGTTATTCGCTTTTAGCAGGGGATCTGAAAACGGACAGCCTTCATCATCCGGAAAGGATTTGATGCCAGCAGTGATGTCTGAGTTGTCAGAGCTTTCAACATGAGGGGGTTGGTCTAAATTTCCAGTCTATGGTCCATTTGGGCGGGGCATGATCAGGGGACCCACACATTTTTCCGTCTCTGGCATCCACTCCGATGCCAAGAAGCAGACTGAAGATCATAGAGTGCTCTGCTTTCAGTTTCCCAATGCCTTGAAAAGAGCGAGCCAATGGGGTACATGCGAATGGCGTGCGTGTTCACAGATTGAGTTCTGTCGCAGGGGAAGCTATGGTCGTTGATATAGCTAAGTAAACCTTGTTGTGTTTTCTTGTTAACTTACTCTTACCTTACGTATTGCCTTTTGCCCTTTCTGTGTTGCTTCAAGTGTCCTTTCCACCAAAGTGGCAACTTGGTCGAAGTCGGGCGGGTTTTCTTGTTGGAGCTGGAAACCTGACGAGCTTCAATGGGGATCGGGACAGAGTCCTTTGCAGGAATCTCCACTTTGGACAGCCTTCTTCGGAATCTCAGAATCCAGCAGCGTCATCATTCCTGTTGGGTTTGTCAAACGACAAGTTGTACATCTCATCGAGTTTTCTTCACCAATCCCGTCGTCGCCGCCGAAGGGTTTGGTTGTAAATGGGATTGACCTCCTTCAAATGGGGTTTACTGAGGTACGCCTAAGCAGCCATCCGGCCAATTCAAACCTTGGGTTTGCAGGATTCGGCCTATTAGGGTGTGTCTCTTTTTGGGGACTGGCCGGTTTTCCGCTAGGTTTCCCTGCAAACCCAACCAAAGGGGGGCTTCCACGCAAAAAAAGAAGAAAGGCCCAGGAAGCCTCGAACTGAACAGTTCAAGCCCCACCAGGGCACACGATGAATTTTGGGGCGCCGATGCGATAGGCTGCATCATCGTCTTCGAGGGCGCTGCGGGGCTCTGGTCCCAGATCCACACCTCCGACGCGACGGTTGGCCGGCGCTTTACCTCGCGCATGGCCATCCTCAGCATCGAGGAGAACGGGTCCCGTTACGAATGCGAATCAAGGGAGACCAAGAGGCAACCTCCCTCTTTCTTTCTTTCCTTTTGGGGGGGGGGGGATTTTGTGAGACAAGCAACTCATATGTCCCATAATTATGTCCGTTTTTGTTTTGGGGGGGTACCACTTGAGAAAGATGGGGGAGTGTGTTTAGCCCCCAGCCAACCCTCAGATCGATTTCACCCATGTACGTACCCACAGAGGGTCGTTTTCAAGAGAATCCACGTTTACAGCACCCATCTCGTTTCGCATGTTTCGAGACAACGGGCCCCAATGAATCTCCGGGTGATGCAGGCATGCATCAGCTAAGTTGGGAAGACAATGAATCAGTTGCAGGAGGGTTTTGGAATTTTGGAAGACTACTTTCCTTGTTGGGGAGGCTCTATTGTGGGCCACGCACATGATTGTTGGAAAGATGTATCTTATTTGGTCGTGGGACGAAGCCCTTTCCCTCTAATATGGAACACCTCCGATCAAAAACAACCTGGGGCCTATGAATCCTGGGTTCCCACTAGTTGGTCTCCGGGGCTGCATTTGTACAGTCTGCAAGAAGCCAGTATACTGATATTCTGATATTCTCAATGGGCCGGACTTAGACGCATTGCAAAGAATAATGTTGTTTGCAGCTTGAAAGGGACATGAAGGAAAGTGGATAAGGCCAAAGGCAAAAGCAATGCCGAGTAAGGTGTGTCTCAGGTGAGCTTCTACGTTTGTTAGGAGGGTACTCTCTGGGAGCTTTTTTTTTTCCCCGAATCCGCCATGACTGAAACGATGCTGCCACTCTGCCTTTCTTGTAGGAGTACTTGCGGGGGACCACTCGCGATGGCGAGCAGATGGTGAAAAGTGCCGAAGCCGCATGTGGCTGGAATCTCTAGGGGGTTCCCAGCCATCCCCTTAGTTTTTTGGATCTTTCGTTGGTTTAGTGGTAGTTTCCACTAAACCACTAAAACTAAGACTAGTGGAGCAGGGGATCTAGGAACAGCGCAGAAATGGCAATCTCTGAATAAGCCCTGCTTGTTGAGAAGGTCCCCGGAACAAAAAGAAGTGGGAGGTATTAATCAGGGGTCAAGGGCAGGAGCATGTGCAAGCCCCTCTACCAAAAAGAAAACACAACCGGAGTGCCGTGTCAAGCCGCCGCTGCAGACACCATGCGGGCACCGTGCAGCTCAGTGATTGAAGTCGAAACCAAAACATGTAGCCTACTGTTCAGAGGGGCAACTCACATTCTCCACAAAAAGCGAGGGGCCAAAAAAAGGTTCGCTGCAGAAATGCTGTTTTCGGGGGTTCCATGTTTTGTGGGGCCCATATCAAATTCAACGCATCCTTCTCGCCTGCAACGTGGGATTCGATTTGCTGTGGCCGTGATCCGTGCTAAAAGCTGTGCTCAACTTCTTTGCCCAGAAAACAAACACGGGAAGTGCTTCAAACATCAAGCCATTAGCCATCCTGGCGGCCTTGTTTGAAGAAGTTTTGCCCAGCCCTGAGATGTCACACCACCTCGAGTTGGCGAGGCCGCTCTTTAAGGGGTGTCTGGAAGACCGGAATCAATCCAGCCGCAAGGGAATCCTGCCGGGGAGGGGTGGTTGACTGGGTCTGCAGTACAAACATGCACTCCGGAACGCAGTGTTGCAAAGATGGGTGTTTCAGGGGTTGCCATTACTATGTAATCCGTATCTCGGGCAATTGTCTTTTCTGGCAGATGCTCAACACAGCTGCATTCACGATTCAAGTGCAACCTGATCATCGAGCAAATTGCAAACATAATAACTTATTATCAATCGGCAACACAATTCACCGAATTGCGGTTGCTGTCACATTTAAGTAGCAAACTGTGCTCAACATGCCATGCTTGGCGCATTCGCTGTTCCTTTCCCTGAACGGTTCGCAGCAAGCAGACACCTCTCGAGCAGTAATTGTTCCTTTCCCTATGAGACCCATGTTCCCTCCCCGGATCCTAATGCACTTCCGCCGATGTTACAGCGCGCGCTTGTTTAGGCATGGGATTCTTTACAACCCCCAACCAGTTGCAAATTGAAAGGAGCAATCCTTTGCATTACTTGGTGGCTCCCAGCCATCCCAGTGTTTAGTGGGGTTTTCCATGTAACCCACAAGTTAGCCACTTTTAGCGGGGGATCTGAGCACAGCCCAGAGTAGTTTTGATCCAATCTTATTGTTTTGCCTTCCCAGCCCCTCCGGTCAGTGCTCTGCTTTGGGTTCCCCAATGCCCCTCCAAGATGATTTCAACCCCCAAAATGCAGCGCCTTTTGGAAGACGGCGAAGCTGGCGTGGAAAAACCGGAGGGCTTGGGCGACCCAAAAAGAGCCCGTGGCCACAGCCCGCGGGCCCTCGCGGGCCTCGCGGGAGCGTGGAAGCGGAGGCTACTACTGCGACTTGCTGGTCCTCGGGGTGGAGAGCTTTCGGCACCTGCCGCGGGGCTTAGGTTCGCTGGCGCCCCTGGTCTTGGCAGGCGATTTGGGCGGGTGGTGGTGGGGGGTTTGGGTCTTGGGAGGTGGGGGAGCTTATGGGGGGAAGACCATGGCCCAGCCACAAACTCAAGATATTTGCGGGTTGCTCGAGTTGCCTTTCTAGTTTTTCCTCAGGCAGCGTCTTTGAACTTGCCAAAAGCAGGACTCTGGGTTTTGGAGTTGCGAGAGCTATAGTGGCTCTGGCGAAACGGCCAGTTTCTTGCCCAAAACCAATGCTCTGAGTATTTTGTTCGTTCCCCCCTATTCATTTGAACCCTCAATTCCATAAGAGAGATTGCACATATGGGTGTGTCTTTTTTTGTAGGTGCCTCCCTTTCTTTTGTGCTAAAGGAAAAACAGCAATTTTCGGGGGTCCACTAAAAAAGACACACCCATTAGTGACACTAAAGAAGACGATGTTGGAATTTGAATCTCAAGATCCCTCCCCAGGCCGTCATTTTGGGCTGCTTCCCGGTTGACTTCCCCTTCCGAAAAGGGCACACACTCCTCCAAAGGCCATAACGAAGGTGATGTTTAAAGGGACCCCCCTCAAAAAAAAGTGGGTTTTCCTTTTGGTTTCCTTTAAAACTGACCAAGCAAGCGGTACCAACTCCCAAAAAAAGAGCCACACCCAAATTTCCATCCATGTTCAAACCATATTCCCCACATGTTCCCAATTCCCCACAGGGATCTGTCTCAAAGTAAGAGCACCCCCCAAACAAAAATTCAATGCCTTTTGGCTTCCCTTTTGTGCTGGTCCCAAAACTTGCTAGTGCTCAGCCGGGAACGAGGGAATGAACCTCAGCTTTGGTCCCTGAAAGGAAGCCACCAGTTGGTTTATCTCGGGGTCATGAGCCATGTCTCATTCCCGGCATCTCTCTCAGCAGGAAAATGGGCACCAACTCCAAAAACAGGAGCCATACTTCCATATCCATCCATGTTTCAATCCATTCTCCCACATGTTCTGTCTCAACCAAGCAGTGGTTTCCCTTTTGGTTTCCCCTTTAAACCGAAACCTGGGTACCTCGCTCCAAGAAAAACGCTCGCGAGAGCTCGCAGGCCTGGAGCACGCGGACGGGGGCTTCGGCTTCTCGCCGCTGCACGACGCCTTTCTGGTGCTCCTGGAGGCCTTGGAGCGCTCGCTCCGTTGCCTCGAACGGCACGGGGCCGTTTTGGAGGCCCCCAAACGGGAAACCGCCACCCCGGAAAGGGGGCCACGGGCGGTGCAACCCAACCCGCTTTTGGAGTGGTTGCCGGTTTTTTTGGCGGGAAAAAACACCTGCGAGGTGTGGTTGGCTTGGCAAACAAAATAAATCTTAGACGCTTCTTCCATGTGGTTTCCCGGTAAGCGAAAGGGGATCGGTCTCCCAAGCTGGAAGTTCCCAGGCCGAATCTTCCACAGCGGCTGGCACACTATGTGGGTTGGCTTTATGGCTCATCTGGGTGGATCTTTTGACTTTAACTTCGTGGTTGAACCAGCTCGGATTTTCCGACTTTGGACCCACACAAAGTTGGTGACACTTTTTGGCAGAGGGGTCCTACAGCAACCGAGTTGGTGGGAGGGTACTTTGCTTCTCTTCAGAGCTGTGTTCACTGGCTAACGATCAACTGCTATAGATGTTTGTCGTGCTTGACGTGTTCTCGGCGCCCGTTTGGTGCAGCGAAATCAGGCAACTTGGTAACTTGGTTGTTTTCTTTGGATGGACTGTTTCAGGTAATAACCCTTGTTTGGTCGCTGGTTTGGGGGATTTGAGCCCGGCTCCAAGCCACCGGCCTCAGCTTCCGGGAGCTAAGACGCCTTTCAAGGGCCCAAAGGAGACCTGGGCCATGGGAAACGCATAATCTGTGACGATCCCATTTTTGGGGTGGATGAACATCCATTTGCCACCATTTTTGTGATGTTTTAACCGGGGGTTTCCTGGGTTTTGACCCACAGCCACCTGGGTGTTCAACTTTATTCAAGTTCGACCCCCCCAACCAATCAACATGGAACCTGACGTTTCAGGGGTAACAAAAAAGAGGAAACCAATTGTTTCTTTTCTTGGTTTCCCTTGAAACAAACCTCCGAACATCGCGGCCTCCCACAAAAAAAGAGAACCTTCGGATTCAAAGAATGCAATGTCGGTTTGCCACCCACCCCCTGGATATTCCTCGCTCTTCGAGTTGGCTAGGAAGGCTGCGAGCGGAAAGAGGGCCTCTTGGTGGCCCAGCCGGGGCTGAGGCTGGACAAAGACGACCAGGAGCTCTGGAGGGCAATGTGCGTGTCTGTTTGAGGGTAATGTAAACCCCGGGTTAAGCAGAACCCCTGGTTGATTAATAGGGGGGTGTCCCCTTTTAGTGGGGATTCAGACCAGTTTTGGAGGCAACACCCACCGAATAATGGGACGGGTTTATTAATCCTGGGTCAACATTACCCCGTTTTACAGGGATATCAACGGAAAACCGAGGCCATTTTGTGTGATTCCCTAATAAGGGCAGACCCAAATGTGTGCCTTCTTTAGAGGGTACCCCTTTTTTGGGTTGAGAAGACAAAGCCCCAAAGAGGCGCCAGGGCTCCTTTTTTGACGTGGACAAACAACGACCCAAGGGACCAACGGACCAACTGACGAGCTTACCAGAACGGAATGTCTTTGCTTTTCGATTGCTTGTGATCACCTCCATAAACAATCCCTTGTGGTTGGCTAGGGAACTCCTAGGTTGATTCCCAACACCCTGGGTCAATCCCTCCGAAGCACCAGCAAGTTTTTTTTTGTGACGCGGGACCCCCGTTTTGCACGGTTTCATGGAGGCATTTTATTTGTTAGTCGAGGAACCCAAACATCCCGCGTAACTTTTTCAACTGAATTCATCCCAACCTTGAAGCGCATCCGATTTGCAAGTTGGGCTCTGGATTCTTTGAGAAAAAATGACCCAAACCAGGACTCCTCCGCAAGTTCCATGTTAGTGCACAATGTTTGGCCCTCAAAGTGTAATGTTGACCCAGGATTAATAAATCCGGCCCATTATCAGGGGGGTGTTGCCTCCAAAAGTGATGAATCCCCACTAAGAGGGGACACCTCCCTATCAATCAACCAGGGGTTTATTAATCCGGGGTTTACATTAGGGTTGCTTTTGGAGGTATGTCAAGCTTTTCCCAAGAATGGGGTGGCACACAAACAATGAGATGGCGTTTCAAGCGTGTTGAACACTTCGCATGCGCAATCAGCGTTTATGTGCCCGCGCAACGGAGCGCTCACTCGGCCAAGATATGGAAGGCCCAGTTTGAGCGGCAGCAAAGAGTGCTCGCCCGTTGCGCATGGTATTTGGGGCGGCCCTAAACGCTATAAAACCTCAGATAGAGTTTGGGACTGACTAACCCATCGGGTTCTTTTTTCTTGGTAAAACCCGATTGTGTTGGTCGAGTTTCTACAAATGCACAGATTGGAACGGTCATAAGGTAACCCAACCTGTCTGCTAAGCTGATCGCAACATGACCCTATTTTCCTTCTAAGTCATGTTCACAACCGCAGAGACCAACAGGAATTTCGAGGACCACAAGACCTACCAAAACCAGAAGTTTGCTGCAGACCTTCCGTGGTTATTTCCAAGTTCCGTTCAAATTTGGTAGCCAAAGGCTAGCTTGGTTGCACTTTCTTGGCGCGCATGACCTGGCACGAACCAGACATTTTCACCAGAAATCTCTGGCACAAACCTATGTGGTCATGAATTTTAATAGGGCGCCACTGCAAAAATGATTGGTGGACGTGAATCCCCAATCCAAATGATGTTCAGATTCATGCTGTCGAGATTTCTTGCGCTTTCTTGGACACAGTCCGGAGGGATTGGTTCCTTTTCTTTGGTTTCTCGCAGGACGGCAAGGCTTTGGCTGGCGCCTGCAGTTTCCTGAGCGGGGTCTACGGCTGGGCAGATGACATCCAGTCCAGGGCGGGTGTGAAGGAAGAAGACCCCGTCTTGGAGGCCGAGCCGAGGGTAGAGGCCTTTCGCTCTAGGTCCCCCAGCGATTGGTGCCCTTTTATCAACTTGTTTGGTTGCGAGGGTTGTAGTCTACTAAAATAGGCTACAGAAAAAAAGTTGGTACCAACTTATTCTAAGCTCTCTACTGGAGGACCGAGTTATGAAGCTTTTGTGGCCGTTTCGAATGCAGTCAATGTTTTGCTGTTGCGATAGCAAATGACCATTGCAGGTGTTGGGAACGGACTGGTTTTGGGGATTTCCTTCAAAGAAAGCACAATGGATGGTTTATGGGGGTCATTCCATTTCTCATTCCCTACTGAGCACCGGCAAGTTTACAGGTGGTTTGGATTGGCGGGATTTGAACTGGTTCTTGGCTTTGGATATGAAACTGGATAGGTTCTTGAGGGCAAAAGGGACATCATCACCTAAACTCAAAACCGCCCATCCAAACCAATTAGAGGGAAGTTGATTGGGGATGGAGGAGATCCCTTACTCCCAGTTGGACATCCTCAGGGCCGAGGATTGAGCGAAGGGGGAGTGTTGGCAAATGAAGGGGAGAAGCAAGTGGCTGTTCTTTTGGACCGAGCCAGGAATCTATACTGTTTCCAACATTCATGGAAGAGGGAGTCCGATTTGGGGACCCCAAAATGGCTGGTTGTCCTGTTGGTTCCCTCTAAAACCTAACCAAAGCAGGCTTTCCCAAAAAAGGACACCCATTTGGACCACCATCGTAAGAGCCCAAGCCCGTACTTCCATTTGCAAAACGGAGCCCAGCGATCAGTTGGGGCAGTTGCCCTGTGGCTATTGGCTTGGAGGGGAAACAATTGGCTTAGCACCCAAAGCCAAACGCTGGGGGTCCATTTCGCTCCTCTACAAGAAGGGGTCCCAAACAAATTTTGGGGCACCAAAGGTTGCCAACGAAACCCCAATCTTTGGCCCACAGAAGAGGGGAACGCCGAAACGTGCCTACTTTTCGGACTCCGTTCCATGTTTGTGGTCTTCCCCCCCCAAAAAAGATGTTTGAAGGAGACCCCAGAAAATCACTACCCCAAGCGAGACGGCTCCACCTCCAAGCCGACAGTAAACGCCAATCAATCCACCTCTTCGGCAAATCGGGCATCACCAATAAACCCCACCTTGTGCAATTGTTCTGCGCCAAGGTGTCTACTTACCTGAAGCGGGGGTGCTAAATCCACAAACCCTCCTAACCCCGAACCCTTTACCCTAAACCCTGCCACTTTGTCTGCTTCCCCTGCGGGCCCCTTGCGGCCCCTTGCGGCGGCCAACCGACCCGCGCACCGCGGGAAGCGCCGGAAGCGCCGGAAGCGCCAGGTGGTCCACGAGGGGAACTTGGGGCCGGTGCCCTGGGCGGTCAGCGCCCCTCACCTCTGGGGCTTCCACCAGCAGGCGCGGAAGGCTAGCAGCACCCGGCTCCTCTTGACTTGGTGGCTCAACCGGCCATGCGGTTCTGAAAGCTTTTGAGCTTTTTAGTGTTTGGGATTTTCCATTTAGCCCACCAAAAGTTAAGCTTTTAGCGGGGGATCTGAGGACAGCCTAGTTGAGCAGCACCCGACCCCCCCTTCCCCAAAGAAAAAGAAGCAAGAAGAGCGAGAGAGGCCAGTTCCGGCGTTTCGGGGGGTTCCACGGTACCTTGAACCAAAAGGATTGACTTTGTGCAGGGTTCTAAGTCTGGTGAAGTTAGGTGGTTCGGTGCCAGTCGTTTTTTTTTCTTCTTTCTGCTACGCATCGGGTGGTTTCCCGCCCGCAACACAATTTGGACGTGCGGAGTTCGTAATCTGCGTAAACCCTGGCGTCTTGCCAGAACTGTTAAAATTGATCTTGCACAGCCTTGGGCCAACTAAGTCTTGAAGCATGTTTCAAAGCTGCGTCAGCACATCAGCAGTCATGGCTCCAAGATTGCGCTTAGCATGTCCGGCGTTGGTGTTTGCCCTGTGGAGAGCCCTTTCACTCCATAGAGTAGGCGCTTACCCTTAAGCGAACCCTTTCACTTCGAGTGTTCCCGTGTTCCCGTGAACGTTAACATGCTGGCATTGGTGTTGACCCTGTGGTCAAACCTTAAAACACGGGCCGGCAGGATGGAAGTCGTGAAAAACCACTTGAGGGCGGGTACCGGTACCCACCCGATACCTCAAAGCAAGGGCCATGTGTTCACCTTCTTGGGCATCTTGGCACCAAAAGTCAACGGGTCACTTGTATCAAAATTCGGAGCCGGATGGATGGTACGGTGGACAAATTCCTGCGCCAGTTGGTAGGTGGCTTGTCCCATGATTGCTCACCTGGTTCAGGTTTTTGTCCACGAAAAAGCCGCAAGGAAAACCCTTGGGCCAAGTTTGAGGGCCTTGGGATCAGTCGGCCGCCGGCTCAGGGGAAGGTGACCTTGATGCGAGCGCCCAGGAGGGCCTTCCTTTGATTCTTTGGATCAGCTGTCGAGAGTGCCCGCCGGGCCTGCATACGTTTCAGCGCCAGTCCTGCGCTTCTCCGTTACGAGGAAAACACGGCGCGCTGGGGTCGTGGGAAGCTATGGAACGTATTCTGGCTGGGCAAAAAGCAACGGGTTTCAACTGTGCCGGAGCATCAAACTGAAGGCGCGAAAAAGTCCAACGTCTATTTTGTTGGTTGTCGGCTCAATCAGTATTGGATCAGCGCATCATCCTTGCTCAATCAGTATTGGCGACCTCACCTCCTAAATTTTGAGAAGCCCTTCAAATCTTCGCAAGGTTCTTCCCTTTTTTGTCCGCAGCCCCTTATGGAGACACACGCAGAAGCCATAAAAAGACACCGAAACCGGCCGGTCTCGAACTGTGCCTCGCAGTCTTCGCGCTCCGAGCTCGCAGGTCTGTGGTCTGTTGTTTGTTGGGCCCCGGGAGACGTCGAAGGGGCTCTCAGGTGATCCTTGGTTGGCGCTTCGGATGATTGGCGGTTTGGATTTGGATTTGAAGCCTAGCTTTTGTAGAGGGTAAATGGGAAACCCCTAAGAAAGGAGGGCAGCTGATCTTAGGACGGAGGCGCTCTTTGAGACGTTTGGCCGAGCAACGAACAAGTGCAAACCAACACCCTGCCAATATCTTGGCAACACATGGCACGTGCTCACACTGAATTTGTGATTCTCAGCTCAATCCACTTTCTACAGGTATGAGAGGAGCCTTCACCATCGAGGTGGTTAGTTTCCTTTTGAGAAACACCATTTGGGGTGGGGGTTAAAGTTTAAAAAGGAAAACCAGAAGGACACCAAGCATTTAGGGGTCTAATTTGTTTGGGACAACCCCATTTCAGTTTGAAGGTGGTATACCATTAGGCCCCCTCCGTGGAATTCTCGTTCTCAGGTCTGGCAGCTCTTGCCAAGAAGGAATGCGCGGACCCGGTAGGAGTTTTGGGTAGGAGCACCTTACAAACGGTTGGTGGGCACAAACATGTAGGAACATCATGTTCCACAAAAGGGTCCCTAAGCAAAGATTCAACCAACATGTTGCACATCCAAATGCCAATGGGCTCCGGTCCGATCTCAGGAATCAAGTTGCATGTGCCCTCCAATTTGAGGATCCACGCTCTTCCGAGGCCAAGCTGCGACGTGCAGGCGCGTGGGGCGTGCAGGGCGGTCGTGGCCGCGCATCGCTTTTGCGATTGTTGGGTGGAGCGGGCGGCCGTTGCCGATGGCTGACAACTTTGTTTGTTTTGTTTTGTTTGTTTGTTTGTTTGTTTGTTTTGTTTTGTTTGTTTGTTTGTTTGCTTGTTTGTTTGTTTGTTTGTCTGTCTGTTTAGTTGTCAGTCCGTCTTCTTGTTTGTTTTGTTGTCCGTCTGTCTGTGTGTCTGTTTGTCTGTCTTTCTGCTTGTCTGTCTGTCTGCTTGTCTGTCTGTCTTTGTCTGCCTGTTTGTCTGTCTGTCTGCCTCGCCAGCCGCGTGGCCGAGGCGGGGTGGGTGAAAGGCAAGAGGTGGCGGGGTATCCGGCCGCCTTTTGCGCTCCCCCAAGAACGTGGCAAGGGGCTGGGGCTTCCAAAGTCCGGGCCTTGAGCCGCGTGCTCGAAACCGATTCGGGTAGATGAAGGTTAGTAAGGGCCAATCCCCTTGCCATAAATAGCTGCGGATATCCGCCTTCTTAATTCTTTACATGGTTCTGGGTCGACCATGTGAATACCGAGCTTTGATTGTGGCTCAGGTGGGGGCAGTCAAGGTTGAAGCAGCCCCAAGTGGGCGTCAGTTGTTCTGCCAGGAGAAGCAGTCGTCGGCCACTCCGCAGTGATGCCAGACGTTTCACAAGATGTGTTGCGAGACCGCGCGGAGCGCAGGGTGAAAGTCAAGTTTGTCTGTAAAAGTGCCATACGGGTGTGTCTTTTATTGGAATTGGTACCCCCTTTTTTCAGGGTTCTTTGGAAAACCAAAAGGAATGCCACCATTTTGGGGGTCCCCTAACAAAGACCCCCCATATTTTAATCAGCTATCTATCAACGTGCTTTCCAAACGCGCAGATGGACGTACAGACTCGCAGAGACAGACAGAGAGGGAGACACAGAGAACGCAAACGCGCAAACACAGACATGGAGCCCCCCGCACGAGCAGGCAGAGACAGACGGACACAGAGACATTGACAAAGAGAGACAAAGAGATACAGAGAATGAAAGCAGGCGTTGGTACACGCACACACCAAAGAGACACAAGATACAAGTACATAATTGCAGACACACTGACACGCAGGCACACTGACTCACAGACGAGCACACACACACACACACAAACCCCACATGCATACCTACGGGCATACACACACCTACACACGCCTACACACACGTGCACAAGCCCACACACGCACACAAGCACACAAGCGCACAAGCACACAAGCACACATGGACACACGCACACACGCACGCACGCACACGCACACGCACACGCGCACGCGCACGCGCACGCACACGCACACGCACACGCACACGCACACGCGCGCACGCACACGCACACACACACGCACACGCACACGCACACGCACACGCGCACGCGCACGCACACACACGCACACGCACACGCGCACGCGCACGCGCACGCGCACGCGCACGCGCACGCGCACACGCACACGCACACCCACACACACACAGACACACACACACACACACACACCCACACCCACACCCACCACACCCACACACCAACCACTTCAGCCCATTCACACGCCTGCCCAACCTGCGCCTCCACCGCCACGACAACCGCACCGCATCCTGGTGATGTGTCCCCCATCTTATTATCTGTGTGACGATCTTATTATTTATCTCAGTATATAATGTGTATATGGCATAATATGACGCTTGTGTATCTGCCTACTGCACCTGCCCTACGTGCCTACAGCCACCTGCCTTCATTTCTGCCCACCTACACACCTGCCTGCAGCCACCTGCCTTCCTGCCTTCCCTGCAGCACACCATGCCTGCCTTACCTGCCTTCCTGCCACAAAACACACCTGCGCAGCACACACACACACCTGCCTTAGCCACCACTGCCTTGCCACCATGACAGCCACCTGCCTTCCGCTCAGCACTACGCACACACACACTGCATGCATGCATGCGCATCAGTATGCCTTTACCACACCATACCTGCCTGCATGCCACACACCTGCCGCCACACACCTGCCCAGGCACACACACACGCTGCCCGTGCACACCGTGCACACCCGCACCCACTGGACGGGACACACGGACACACCTGCATGCGCGCACACACACACACACACACGCGGCGCGCACCTGGGATGGCATGCGGCCACCGCGCCCCACCCACTGCCTTACCATACCCTGCCGCCTGCGACGCACACTGTCGTGACGTGCTCTGTCTTTTTCTCCTGTCGTGCTTTTTCCCTTGCTTTGTGTGCCACCCCTGGAAAGAGCCACCTGCGCGCCTGCGCCACCACCTGCGTGCAGCCCTGCGCCTGCTGCCTGCAGCCTGCCGCCTGCCTTTGTGGCCTGCCAGCGCTGCGCCTGCAGCCCTGCCGCCTGCCTTCTGTATGCCCCAGCCTGCCGCCTGCAACCTGCCTTTCCTGGCCTTTACCTGTGTCTTCTGGCCTTCTCACCTCTACCACCCACCCACCACCTGTACACACATACTTCTACGCTTTACACACACACACGGACACACACACACACACACACCACGCCCACCCAACACACCACGCACCTGCCTTAGGAACACAAGGTACCTTCCATACGAGGTACCTCGCTATGAGTCATATGAGTGCCTTTCTGGCCTTTCTAGCCTTCTCTGAGATGTGCGCCTGCCTTTGCGCCTGCCTTTGTGACAACACCTGCATGCCTGTGTACACACACACCTGCTGTTGTGCCTTCACCCACACACCACCACCACCTGCCCCTTTTCGAATGGCCTTTCTGTTGTATGCCTTCCCTACCTTTCACCCACCTGTATGCCATGTGTATGTATGGTGTGCACACACACACATGCACACACACACACACACCCACACACCACTGCCTTTAGTGTTTGTTATGTGACTGCTTGTTGCTCTTGGGTGGCTGGATGGATCACCCAACCTGCCTTCTGCCTTTCTTCAGCACAACGCCCCTGTATGAGCTCATATAGCATGTTACTTATCTTGCCTTCTTGTCTTTATGTACCCCTTCAATAACATGCATATGTATGTATGTATATATGTATGTATACTTATCATATAACATGTATGCGTGCTTATGTATGCCCCTTATGTACATGTATGTATGTATGCGTGCACCTGCCACCACCTGCGCACCAGCACACAAGCAACAGCAACGCACACACACACGCACACACGCACACACACACACACACACACACACACACATATGACCTTGGGACGGGGCGAGGCCTTGAGACGCGAGGCCATCGAGGCCCCTTCAGGCCTTGAGCCAGCCTGCCTTTCTGCCCTGCCTTTTCTGCCTGCCTTTCTTGCCCTGCCTTTCTTCCTTTGCCTTTGCCTTCTGCCTTATACGCTTTGCATATGACATGCGTACACCCCACCTGCACCCCACACCCACCCCACACCCACACGCGCACACACACACACATGCACACACACACACACACACACACACACACACACACACACACACATACGGCCACACGCGCACGCACGCGCACACACGCGCACGCGAAAAGCACGCGCACGCACGCACGCAGAAGCAAACCCGTCCCAATTCTTGCCGCTTGCCCATGCAGTCTTCAAGCAGTCTCGCCGCCGCCTCTCGCCCATTGCCCGCCAGCCATGCCCACATCCGCAGGCCTCGTGCGCGTGCGGCTGCGGTTACGGTTGCGGTTGCGGTTGCGGTAGATGCCCACTCTGAGGACGCGAGCTCCGTGTGGAACCGCGCCCGCTTGCTGCCGCGGGCCGCTGCAGCCCACACTTCGGCCGGGCTCGTCTCCGTGAAGGCGGACGCCCCGTACGAGTTCAAGGCCTGGGCTGCGACAGCGTCGTAGCTGTAGAGCTTGTCCCGGCGGCTGTCGGTCTGCTGCGCCATCGCCAGGGGCGCGACGTCAAAGCGTACGCGCACGCGCACGCGCACATGTACGCACACGCGCACATGTACAGGCACACGCACATATACGGACACACACACACACACAAACACATATACGGACACACACACACACACACAGACACCCACTCACGGAGACACAGAGGCAGACAGTGCCAGAGACAGAGATAGAGACCGAGAGAGGCCGAGAGACAGAGATAGAGACAAACAGAGACAGACAAAGACAGAGCAAGAGAGAGAGAGAGAGAGAGAGCAGGCAAACAAAGAGAGACAGAGAGAGAGAGACGGAGACAAAGACAAAGGCAGCCAGACATAGAGACACAGAGACACTAAAGACACACAGCCACACAGAGACTGAGACACACAAAGACACACAGATAGACAAACACAGGCACGGACACACAGAAACACAGAGATATGAAGACACAGAGACACAGAGACACACTGACACTCAGACACGGACACACAGAGACATAGACACGCAGAGATAAATATCCACCCGAGCGTGATCCAATGCCTTCCCCAGCAGATGTTACATGCAAGGGCCGCAGGCAGGGCACCTTTTTCAAATCCAGGGTTTGTGCAAATATGACCAAACACACGAGGTGTCATGTGAAGCATGTGTTCAAAGATGAGTACTGCGATTGATAGAAGTTGTGTGCAGAAAGTTTGCAATCAATCAGGTTCCCACTCCTGTCCTGCGTGGGCGGCATGTAGAGGATAATTTTAATATTCAGTTGTTTTTCACCCTGCCTCTGTTTTTCTGCTCGTTCCCATGAGCCGCCCCTCATTGCCAGTGCGCAGCGAAGTCAAAGCCTTTAGGCGCGGTGTTTCAACCAGGCTCGCCTGGCTCACGACCGCCACGTGTCCAAGGTACCCACAGGGGTTCTTATGAATATTATACATATAGTACATATATATATATATATATATATATATGTATATGTATATATTATATGTATCCCTTGTTGAGGATTATCATCACCTTTTGTGGCAATGTTACGATCAATTTCCTTTTCGTAAGCTGATGCTTTCAAGAGGACATAAGAACCCCTGATCCACAGGCATGTGTCAAAAGACAAAAGGCACAAGCCATTTCGAGGCGACACACGCACATGAGCAACAGACGCTAGTATCTATTCGTTTAGAGGAGGATGAGAAGGGGTGGGCCCGTCCTTTTGGGGGAAGTGAGTGTTGCTAGAGATAGCGATGCTGTTTATCGTGTCATCTGGGTCTTTGTCCAGGAATCAAGACTCAAAACCCAACAAACGAAGGAAACCGTTGAGCTTCGAAATCTGCCCCTCCAGCTCAGCAACACGAAGTGCGAGTTGGGAGGGAGCAATCAAATCCGACACTGAGAGCAAGCGGCGGCCGAGAGAGCGCCGGTGCAGCCAGCGAAAAGGCGGTGCCGGGCATTCAGCAGCCATGTGGGTATGGGTCAAAATTAAACTACGAGGGGACCGCAGGTGTTCGTCCTTGGTTCCTTACCAGGGTTCCATTTTGGGTACCTATTTTTGACCCACACCCATGTGTTTGACCCGGTTTTCGACAGCTTCCTTCAGCCCTGCGCCCTCGGCACAAGCACAGTTCAAGTGAAAAGCATAGAAGCCCATCCTTTTTCAAGTGCCCCTGAAAAATCAAGGGGAATCAACAAGTCCCAACCTCTGCGTTTGAGAACCCTACGCGAAAGGAAGCCTAAAGCCACAGGGGCAAACTTGCCATATATGTGAATTTGAGATTCTGCCAAAGTCAGTGTGTGCGTGTGTCTCGATGGTAGCCGTTTGTGGGCTGTTTTAAAGCAACCGCAGTTTTGGGGGTGTGACACACCAGTGCCGTTTTGTTTGCCTGCAGTGCGCTGACCTGCCTTTGCGCAAGAGACACGGGAAAAGAACGCCCGAAGGGCTTTGAGCGCTTGATACCCGGCGAGCTCCTGGCTTTGAGCTGTGGTCTTTGGAATTCAAGGCTGTTACATTACATCAATAACTCATGACATCAAGGCAGTCACATCAATTACAATCAAGGCTGTTACGTCAGATTTTACGCCATGTGTGATTTTCTGGCAGGGTAGCGTTACAGGGACGGTGTCACCCGCTGGGGGCTGGCGGCTGGCGGCTGGCAGTTGGGGCCCATGCAGCTTTCCCAGGGCAGCTTGCTCGGTGAGGAGAGGGGAAGTAGGCCTAGTACTAGTCGGTGGCCCATGTGGGTTTGTTTGTTTGGCGGTACCCCGATTTCGGTGGTTTTAAAGGGACACCAAAAGGAACCAGCACCATTTTGGGCGATCCCCAAAAAAGTCACACACCCATGTTAGGTTTTCCCTCCCGTCCGTGGAAAGCGTTCAAACGGCGGAAACGGGCATGCCAAGAGTTGCCTTTGGCACCTGTCAGGAATAAGGGGGAAAACGAACGCAGAGTTCCGAAAACCGGGGAGCATGGGAGTCAATGCTGTTAGACACGCTCTCCATTCGGCAGGTATCATGTTTTCCTCAAAAATCAGGCAAACCGTTCCCAAGTCCCCCTCTGGATCAGATCATCTGATCATCTTCAAGACCTTCATTAGGTCGGGTACTGCGGGACACTTGGCGTTTAACATTCTAAACAATGCACATTTTTGTGGACGGTAGCTTCACCGTCTAAAAGGTGCCAAGGTCAAGGCGCTCTGCTGTGTGAGGACAACAGATCGCTGAAAAGACCTGTGCGCTTCAGCCGATTTGAGAGGAGCACAGGTGAACGAGGTTTCTGGGGTGCTGGCAGTTGGTTTGTGGGTTCATGCTCGGTGTAGGGTTTGGGGGTTGGCTTAGGCTTGGTCTGTGTAGGCTTGAGGCCCTCAAAGCATCGCAGGACTGCATCCACGGCTTTGGCAAGAACGGCGATGACGCTAGTGCTTCGGGCGTTCCACTAGATGCGCCTCGGGACGCACAGCGAAAAACTCAGGATGAAGCAATGAAGCGAGGAGTTTGTGTGGGTCCTGCTCGGTTTAATGACTTGCAACTGCTCTTGCTCTTGCTGTTGCTGTTGCTCTTGCTCGGGGTCTGGCTGTTGTTGGTGGCGGTGGTGGCGTGGCGGTGCTTTGCCTGGACAAACAATCGTCCCAAGGGACCGGTTTGGCACTTTCCCCCATGAGACTCCTTAAAACAACGGATGAGTCTCGGGGGCCCTATGTCAATCAGTTGGCAATTCATAGCAAGGGGACGTACCTTTTGGACCTCTTTGGCAGCGCAGCGCGCTTAAAAGGGGGAAGCACAAGATGCACTGAATTCCTATGTTTGGCTCCTTATGGCCCCATTTCTGGGCAATAGTCACCTCAAGACGAACTCACCGCTGCGGGATTGTTTTGTCTGCCCCGTACATGAGGGGTTCCAGTCACTTTCAGACTTCACGCGTGCACGAAGCCGAACCGCGCTCCCTATGCCATATGGGATGAGTCAAAATTAAACCACCAGGGGACCGCAAGTGTTAGTCATTGTTTCCATTTACCAGGGTGCCATTTTGGGTGCCTATTTTTGACCCACAGCCATGTCTTGTCTTTGCGCATGTCACTTTGCACCCTTCAGGGAGCAAGGGGCCAGTTGGGCAGTGCTGACTCGAGTTTGGGCTATCCTCTTAATGGCCCACCAGAAGCGCCATTTGCGTGTGTCTGCTTGTTGGAGGGTACTGATTTGGATGCCAGAGGTGTGCTGCTGGAGGAAAATCGGATGGGCTTTCTCAAGGGAAACCATGGCTATGGACACTGATAAATAAAATCATATATATATATATACATATATGGGTGTGTCGGTCTTCTCTGAGGATACTCATGTTTTGTGTTGTTCAACGCCAAAAGGAAAAACCACGATTTTGGGTGAGGAGAAAAAGACAGCCAATTGACAAGCTGCCGCGTATCCTTAAGCTTCCCCTTGGTTGGTGATTTGAAGCTTGATGGTTTGGAAGCTAGGGGGGAGCTTCCCACTACAAGAAGCAGGGGTTCAAATCCCAAACCACCAATGCAAACTACCGATTAAGAGTTACCTGAGCGATATTCCGGGGGTTTGTCAAATGGGCGTCTGTTTTCTTTTTTAACCCAACAAGTGTTCCTTCTGGTGTTCCTTCCAAAACCTCACAAATCAGTACCCTCCAAAAAGCAGACGCAGATGGCACTTTGAGTGGGCCAACCCATCCGACTTTTCCACCAGCAGCGCACCGCTGGCCTCGATCGGTGCCTCAGGTCGTGGAGGAGGATGCCACGCCGTCCATGGCGCGGTCCTCCGCCTCGCCGGCGCTCAGGCGAGCATTCGAGCGCTCGATGGCTCGAGGGGTGCGGGGCGGGTCGGGGGGGGAGTGGAGCACTTTCTGCGGCTGTGGTGGTCCAAGCCGTTTTGGGATTTCATTTTGGGGGTAGGTGAATTTTAGTCACCCATTTTGGGCTTCCTGTTTTAGTGGGTTGGATTGAATCGGATCTTCACTGAAACCCTTTGAGATGCGGGGGCGGGGGGGTGGGTCACTTTCCGTGGGGTATGGGTCAAAATGAAACCACCAGGAATCGGAGCAACGAGCAGGTTTTGGTGGTTTCAATTTGCCAGGGCGCTGGCCATGTCGGGTACCATTATTTATTTTGTTGACCCACTGCCATGTTTCTGCGTGTTTTTCCGGAACGATCCGACCTGCCTGCCGTTGTGAGCACATGTGAGCAGCGCAGCCTTACACTTCCCGGTTGTTCAATGCCAAGTTTTTGTGTACCCCAGATGTGGGCCGAGATATGATGGAAGCTTTCTTTATGTGGGAATTCCTTTCGTCAGTGGGGGTTGATCAATATTCCATTTAGGCCCCCAGGGTAACTTTTCCCAAGTGGTTGAACTATCATATCTTTCCAGTGGTTTTCTTGATGGTCATCTGATGTATGTCGGACCTTTTGATCAACCCCCAGATCCAGCGCCCAGCGCCGTGTCTCTTTTTTGAGTTGGTACCCTTTTCAGGTTGGTTTTTCAAGGGACGCCAAAAGAAGAAAAACCCACCCATGGTTTTTAGAGATGCTTCCCAAGTTTTTCAACATTTACAAATACTATGGCGTCGGGGGTAAAACAAGACTATGTCCGGTTTAGGAATTACGTGTATCTTTTTTTCTATGAGAGCCCCGCAAAATGGGGTGGCTGTCCTCTTGGTTTGCCTCACAAACCAGCGGCGCAAAGGGTACCCTCAAAAAGCGACACACCCATATGCCCTTTATCTTCTTCTTTTCGGTCAACAGTAGCTGCCCCCCATGATTTCCCTTGGGTGGTTCATTTGAAATCTTCAACAATCAGGCAAGCAGACAGGAAGGTTTGAGAACACGGACTTTCCTTTTTGGTTGATTGCAGGAAAGAGGCCAAGTGCATTTTATATGCATATTTGTAAAGATACAATATGGGCATGCGCCTGTATTCATCTTGATTTCGCGGCAAGCTTAAATGAGTTGGAGGAAACTTGACTTTATCCGGCATGTTTCGCCTCGCCTATATTGTGTGCTTTAGGCGGGTATGGTGGTGGGCTAAGACCCCTACAGTTTGCACACACAGATGGGAGACATTTGGACAAATCATCTGCATATTCTGAGAAGCTCACGGATTCAGGGGGTAAAACACGCCGAAGGTCAGAAAGGCTCCTAGAGGATGCATGATTTCCGGGTGGTGAATTATCTGCGCTGCGCAGAGGGTCAATTCTAAATTCTTGGATTGCGAAAGGGATCCCCTTTTGTGGTGGTTCTCCAATAAAAAATGCGGTTCAGGACTGGCCCACATGGTCAAATTGACAGTCCAGAGGATACGAATTCTCACTTGCCCAAAGCGAATTGACCTTTTTTGACCTTTTAGATTCCACCTTTTGGCATTTTGGTTAAGTAACGGCCCCAAAAGATTCACCTTGTATTTGTGGGTTCTTTGGGCAGCTGAGAATTTGCCCAAGGAATTGGCAAGTCGGAGAACCTTCTTGCGATATTTTCGGAGCGAGTCACATTCACCGATCGGGTGAAGGACATTTTTGAACACGCCGAGCAGCTGGCCGAAGAGGAACATCAAATGATCCACAAGCAAAACCGATTCGGGTAGATGAAAGTTACTGCGGGATAGTTCCAACTTTAAATGGGTGCAACCGCCTTGTTAGTTTTGTACGTGGTTCTGGGTAGACCATTTTGATACCAGGTTTTGATTGTGACTCAAACATAATTCGTTCCTAATCCACCGACTATGCCGAAAGCTTGCGTTTTGGAGATGATCAACCGTATCCTTAGCTTTAACCTTTGCGTACTTGGCCCACCTTAGCCAGGCCTGCGGACAAGGTGTCAAACGGAAGTCACCTTTTTGAGGTTGCCCTATTTTCACATATATATATATATACACATGTATATGGTCACTTCCCCCCATGATCTGCGTGTCAGTTTACCTCCGTGAACAAATGCGAAAACACACTGTGTGTTTAGCGGTGTTTTGATTTCACATTGTGTTTGATGATTGGCCTTGGGGCCAACCGAAGTTCAAGCAAATCCAAAAAACGGAGCAACACTGTTTGTTTTAACCCTTGTGAGCATGAATTTTGGTACGTGGCTACCAAGCCACTAAACATGTGGAAAACTCACACACACACACACCAAACAGGAATGAAAACGACACCTCAATGGAGAAGTTGTGGTGTTGCCAAAAGGTTGCTGTGCTTTGGTTTCTCCAGGTGTTCCCTTGTTTTTTCCGCTCTATCCCTCCAAAAAACAAAACCTACTCGGTTGTTTTTCTGTGTGTGTGGCTGCCACAAGGTAAAGCACCAATCACACCTTGAGTATTTTTGTTTGGGGGAGGGATGTGAAAAAAACAAACAGATTCTCGAGTGGTTTTTTAGTTTTCCCTCAGGCTTTTGTGTTTTCACTTTATCCCTCCCAAAAACACAACAACTTGAGTTTGGTTGTTTTGTTTGGTGAGTGTTAGCCAGACAAAACTAAACAACTTTTTTTTGTTCTGTGTTTTCTGCTGAAGCAAGAAGACAACACTCCAAACAGCTCGAGTTGCTTGTCGGTTTCGGTCTTGCCCGTGCCGTCAAATTTTTAGTTTCGACCTCAAAATTTTGGAACTCAACGCCTGGCTTTCAAGCCTTGGCTCGAGCTGCTCATTCTAAAGCTCCAAGTAAGGCTCCTAAAAAAGCTGCTTACAAGGCTCCTTGTAAAGCTCCTTTCAAGGCTCCTTATACCAAATGGGATTCTAACTCAAGTAAATAGACTTTAATATGGTAGGAATTCAATCAGAGTTTCTGTTTTGAATGATTAATTTCAAGGGACATTATTTTCCACATATGATGTGAAATTGACGTCACCTGGAGGAATATACATAGAGTTGAATACGGAATAATTCCATTAGACATCTACCTTCAATTAGAGTTTAAATGCACCATCCATTGCATGAATAGAACCTAATAGTAGAAGTAGTGCAGTTCCTATGTCAACTAAAATTTTAACATGACGCCTTTTAAACAGATTTAAAAGCACAGTATATTAGACGTATTACAGAGTTCAAGAAGGAACTACTTGCATTCAATATCTATTATAATTTCGAGTTTAAGAGGAGCTCCTTTCCAAATAGAGCTTTAATTGGTTAATTTCAAGGTACATGGAATTTGAATGTCTATTCTGATCAGAATTTAAGTAGGAATCCCTTTCCAAACATAACTTTAATCCAACATAATAACAATTTAAATGGATTTTGACAAGGCCCCTCACATAGGCATTTAGCTTTTTTGCGCCAAACTATGCTACAGAGGTAGATCGGTGTGTGTGTGTGTGTGCGCGCGCGGTGTGTGTGTGTGTGAGTGTGAGTGAGTGAGTGAGTGAGTGAGTGAGTGAGTGAGTGAGTGAGTGAGTGAGTGAGTGAGTGAGTGAGTGAGTGAGTGAGTGAGTGAGTGAGTGAGTGAGTGAGTGAGTGAGTGAGTGAGTGAGTGAGTGCGTGCGTGCGTGCGTGTGTGTGTGTGTGTGTGTGTGTGTGTGTGTGTGTGTGTGTGTGTGTGTGTGTGTGTGTGTGTGTGTGTGTGTGTGTGTGTGTGTGTGTGTGTGTGTGTGTGTGTGTGTGTGTGTGTGTGTGTGTGTGTGTGTGTGTGTGTGTGTGCGTGTGTGCGTGCGTGCGTGTGTGTGTGTGTGTGTGTGCGTGTGCGTGCGTGCGTGCGTGCGTGCGTGCGTGCGTGCGTGCGTGCGTGCGTGCGTGCGTGCGTGCGTGCGTGCGTGCGTGCGTGCGTGCGTGCGTGCGTGCGTGCGTGCGTGTGTGTGTGTGTGTGTGTGTGTGTGTGTGTGTGTTTGTGTGTGTGTGTGTGTGTGTGTGTTTGTACGTTTTTCAAAGGTACGCTGGTTGGGTTTTTTCAAGGACCCCAGCCCCAGATTGGATGACAAAAAACGTTGAACAAATTGGGCAACCAGAGGTAGAACTTGTTTAGAGTCGACGGGTCTCTCGGAATATCTCGCAGACGATGCCTGGGCGGCTTCTCCAAATGGATGGGGAAAGACCACGGCACCGGAGCGATCTACGGCTTTGTGAATTGGAGCCTTTGGCTCAACGACTGCGTCGAGGTTCATTCAGACAGCACGTGGTGGTCTCCCACCATATGTGTCCTTTTTGGGTTATTTTGGTTAGAAATAGATGGCACTGGTTTAGGTTGGTTGTATTCCATTGTGTCCTTTTTGGGATTTTTGGTTAGAACTAGATGGCACTGGTTTAGGTTGGTTGTATTCCATTGTGTCCTTTTTAGGTTATCTTGGTTCGAAATAGATGGCACTGGTTTAGGTTGGTTGTATTCCATTGTGTCCTTTTTGGGTTATTTTGGTTAGAACTAGATGGCACTGGTGTAGGTTGGTTGTATTCCATTGTGTCCTTTTTAGGTTGTTTTGCTTAGAAATAGATGGCCCTGGTTTAGGTTGTATTCCATTGGGCCATCTATTTTCCCAAAAAGGACACCACATGGGCCCTTGGACCATTTTCCTTTTAAAGGCGCCTGGTCGCTGATGTCAGGTTCCATGTGAAAAAGGTGGGAGGAGGTTTGCGTGTATTTGTTTCCAGGCTTGCAAGCATGCCCTACGTGTGAACGCCACTCCCATTCCGTCACCACTTGCAACGCATCTTGCTCCAGGAACTTTTCGGGGATGTAGCCCTCTTTTCAACACTCATTCCTTGTGGACTTGCGTGCTTCACGAAGAAGGGATGGGGTTTTCCTTAAACAAAATCAGCAGCTTCCATAATTATTAAAGGCATGTAAGAGACACAGGATCCAAAAGCCAAGTTCTCCGATGTGTTCAGTGTTCGCGAATTTCTAACCCCTTAATGACTTTTTTCAAGGGATGCGGGCTTAATGAGCCTAATTCGATAGAAACAAGGCGAGAAGCAAGGTTAACGGGGGGGCAAATAAGGCCGCAACGTTTGCGGGCCCCTGGGTGTGTGTGTGTGTGTGTGTTACAGGAGGTCGCCTTTTTCTCCGGAAGTGCCAAGGAACCCCCACAAACTGCCCCAAAGACCCGTTCAGGCCAAATTTGGCCTTTGACCTTTTGAAGCAAGATTGGCCTCCCAAGGGCTGATCCGTTGGGTAGGCTCCCTGAACGCGGTGCTCGATGGTAGCGTGGTACCCACCACGTCCCTTGCGGCATGGTCTTCCAGGAACCCCAGTGGGTGGGCGGGTAGTAGCCTTCAAGAATGCAAGTTTTCCAGACTTCTATCATTTTACACAACCGGGAGGCCGAAGGACCCAAACGGACTCAAAGGACTTGGCCAAAGTCTTGCTCGGCTCTCAGTGCCTGGCGCCCATTCAAAAAATCCGGGTAACCCAATTTGGATGAACAACTCCTTAGGTCATGGTTGTTGTTGGGAAACATTCTACATTTTTGCTTATTGTGGTTTAGTGGGAATCCCCACTTAACTGCTAAAAATTGAGAATGTTTGCTCCCCTTCCAACGTCAACAAAGAGGTAAACCAGAATGGTGTCCCAGCCACAGGGAAGCTGCCTGAGAGGGAGCCAAAGGCCCGAAGCAACAAAGACACCATGCACATTCGCCGGTCGCGAAGGACTCCACACTGGAATACCTAACAACAAAGCACGGAACAAACAACACGAGCAAGACGCCCGCACACTGGAATACCTAAAATAACGTACACGAAGCAACAACGGAGGCTCCTCAATTTTTCCGGTTTCTGCGGTTGCAGGTCAACCAGATCTTGGCAAACGCTGTTCCGCAGGCCTGAGATGTCGTTCTTGGCCCATTTTTCTGGTACCCTGCACACGGAAGGAACCCCAACATGGGGGTCCGAATCCCATAAAAGGAGTTTCATCCACACTTGGTGGGAGTGTTTTTGGGGGTTCCTTGGGGTTCCTTCTGTTTCAAGATTTTGGGGTACTCGAAGTGTGGCTCTGGGCATGTGGACTGAAGCCCCTCCCCCCTCCCCCCCTCCCCCTCTCCCCTCCCCTCCCCCCCCTCTCCCCCCTCTCCCCCCCTTCCCCCCCCCCCGCCTCTCCCCCTCCCCGTTTGGGCCTTGTTTTTTGTTTTTTTCCCCCGAGGATCGTGTGCGCCGAGGGCTCGGACTTCGGACACTCGCGTCGGATCCACGCCTCTGGGGGTGCACACGAATGAATCTGAGGATTTTCGCATCCCCAGCCCAAAAATGGAATTGGGAGAGGGATTTGGGGGACTTCGACCCCTGGAGATCTCGATCTCCATTTGCAACCCATTTTCCAACTTTTGTGGTTGCATGACCAAATAAATGGAATTGGGGTCCCCACCCCCCACCCCCCCTTCCCCTTAAGGTAGGGGGGACATACCCGCCCTGTGATTGCCTTGCATGGATATGGGTCGGCTTTTCAAATACCAGGTCTTGATTCAGGGAGCATTTAAAGCCGGAAAGCATGCCCGGGGCATTCCGGCGGCTGGTTGGATTTTGATTAGATCTGAGGATCCAGGGGCCTGGCGGAGCGACAAACTCCAATGGGTGACTTTAGGTTTTGAGAAGTTTTCCGCAAAAAACGGCCGCCCCCCTTCAGGGCTCCGAATAAAAGATATCTCCATGTTGCAACCATTTGAACCGTTTTTGGCTTCTTCAACCCCAAAAAAGGGTTCAAACCACCACCATTTACAAGTCGCAATGTCCGGGTGCCTTTTTCATGCATCCGGATCCCCGCTCCTTGGCGCCGGGCTTTTTCTTTCTTTCTCGGCGGGTGAGGCGCGTGACTGCGGGTGTTTTCTTGAGAGACGTGGCTGGAGCTCTCGAAATGGGGTGGTTTTTGTTTTGCATTGCAAAGACATTGGACAAAAAGCAGAAAACATTGAAGCAAAAAACAAAAACACACATTGAACAAACATATTGAGCAAAACATTGAAACAGAAAACATTGAACCAAAACTTTGCTTTCCAAAAGAACACATTGAAGAAGACCTACCGGAAGCAGTCTGTTTTTAACGTTCCGGAAGGTGGCTTTAAGCAAGGCCCGCAGATGTGCCACGGAGGAAACACGGACGAGAAGGTGATGTTGTTTTCGTTTGCGCGGCCAGAATTGTGGGGCTGGCTACGAGAAGACAATTCCTCCACAAGCACCCTTTGTATTTGGTTGGCCATCATCTGGTTGGTTTCGGGGGACAAGCAAACGAAGCAAGGTACAACCATAAGCAACATGGAGGTTTCCCATCACCAGCCCGTCAAGAATTAGGGATTCCGGGGAAATGTCGCCGACACAACCCATATTATGGGAGTTTGCCCATGGCACCAGCCATATGGCACCAGTCATTCAGGCTCTCATGGAGCCGATGCAAGTGGTATTGACGCTCGCTTCTTCCGGTCGCTCAGGTGCCATCTTTGGTCTCCTACGCGCACATTGTCTTCCCGCAGCACGAATTCCGCGAGTTCTTGCGACTTTGCACCAAATGCTGGGTGGAGACAAATGGCTGCACTGGCTTTGGGGAATTTCAGCAAGTCTCAAAGTGGCATTCTGAATCTGGCGCAACTTTGGACCTGTGCCAAATTTCGCAATTTATCTTCAACATCACCGGGAGGAAGCCCAAACAACTCACTCATATTATTCAACATCACCAAGAGGAAACCCAAAAGGGCTGCTTTCTTTTTTAAGAAGCCGGACTCTCGAGCCAAAGCGGAAAAGGTGAGGCTGCCCGGCCCAAAGTAGCACTGTTTCTCACTTCTCCCCCCAGCAAAAGTAAAAAAGAAACACACACACACAAAGTTTAGATCCATGCAAAAGCAGCATTCCAGATGCAATTTTATGGCCTAGTTCTTTTTGTTTGGGGGGGGACAGTGTATTATGTATATATACATATTGTTGTGGGAAAAAATACACAAATTGGCAGGAACGAGAAACACACCTGAAAGAGCATGTTAGCACCTCAAAAATAATGCCTATTGTTAGGGAAAGGTATAGCAAGGCCTATTTGCGCCTTATCACCAGGTTATTCAAAAATGACTTTGGTTCTCCGCTGCTCCGGAAGACGTTGTTGTGTGTCAATGGCATCTGATAGTTCTGTCTTATAGGAAACAGTCCACTCACCTTGTCAGGTGGAGGAGCGCCATTTTTGAATCGCCCAGCCCAAACCAATCCCTGATTTACTTTCTGCAGCTACTTTAAACTCTCACAATACATCGGGTTTGAATGTGATTCATGTATCTAGCACCCAACTACCCAGTTGCTGACGCATTTCTGGCGGGTCACAGTTTTTGGAGACTTGCAGTTTGAGGCTCCAGCAGGGTTGTCTTAGCCAGAAGTCATAGTTTTAGTTGCCGCCTTCACCACTTGTATGGTGCAATGCATTTTGATAGGGAAACCCTCGAACATGGTTTGTGGACATCACCTATGCGAATTCTTGCAATCGAATGAGGGGTCCAAATAAAGTATCATTCCCATTTCACCGGATTGAGGCCTAGCGTGGTCAAGATCTTCTTCCTCAGTTCTGCTGCAACTTCGCTGCACGCTTTGCAGAAGTTCAATGGGTGACAATCCCCCCCTCTCTCAGGGGTAAACCATGGATTTGATTATCTTCAGCTTTTCTGCACCATAGGTTTAGACCATACCCCTTGAGGCAAATACCAAAGGCAGATAAAGGATAAATGAGGGGTCAAGACGTCCCAAACTAAGACTACAGGGGCCGCGTCTCAGCTTGGGTGTGGTCTTGGGGTCTGTGGGGGAAGCTTCTGCTTTTTGAATGTGCCCCTGCACCTCATGCAACTTGTGATTTGTTGTTGGATGGTTTGTTGGTTGGTTGGTTGGTTGGCTGGCTGGCTGGCTGGCTGACTGGCTTGCTTGCTTGCTTGCTTGCTTGCTTGTTCGTTTGCGTCTCCATGTATGGGCTCAGTTCGTGCGTGTGCGTGTGTGTGTGTGTGTGTGGGTGTGTGTGGGTGTGGGTGTGTACGTGTGGTTGTGTAAATGTGAGGAGATGCATGTGTATACATATATATATATATATGGTCACCCCTTGCCGGGCCTACCTTTCCTCTCTTCTGGCTGAGAAGGTGTCAAGTCTACTCCGTGTGCCTCATTCTTGCAGATGCCTGAATGTAAAATACCGTGCTTTTGTTGACGTTTTACCTTCTATATGACAGCAAATGTTTGCTTTGTTTAAGCTTGAAAGGCACCAAGCGAAAACGGAATCCGTTTTCAGATTCGAGTCTGGCTTTGCTTGAAAACACTGGTTTTTACAGTGGTTTTTACAGTGGTCTTGAGTACACCAGGGAACAAACATTGAAACAATGATATTTATTGCAGCTTTGAGCTCTGCAACCTGCACAGACCCAAAAGCACAACATCTCCTGAACATGAAAGCTCTGAGACCTGCACACGCCAAACAAATCTCCAGACCAATTTTGGGAGTCTGGGGATATTTGCTCATTATTTGTGTAGCCAGCATATTTGGGAGTTAGTTACTATTAAGATTTGCTTTTGCAAAGGCTAAGTGATTTCTTTCCAGATTAAGCTCTCTATTCCAATCGAAGTCACATGCGGCAAGGCTTTCCTATGTTCAAATTGGCTTGAATTCTGTCTGCTATAGAATTATGGTGAATTATGAATTGTGGTGAACTATGCCTTTACTAAATTCTATTCAGTTTCAACTCGGAGTAAAGTCCTCTTTGGAAAGGAAGGTAAATTTGGAGATGTTGGGGGACTCCAGGCTCCAAATTATGAGGCTTGGAGAATCCAACATTAGACATTTAGAGGATTTTGATCTCCACATTCTAGGTTTTTGGTGTTTCAACATGGACATTTCAAGGGATTAGAGGTCCAACAAATGCTTTTAAAACACTGTGTTTTGAAGACATTGCTCAGCCTTAGACCAAAGATATTTTTTGCACCAAACAACATGTTTTCCCTTCAACATTCCAATTCAATTCAGAGTAGAATCTTATTTGGAAAGGAATTCATGTTGGAGGACTCCAGGCTCCAAATTATGAGGCTTGGAGAATCCAACATTAGACATTTCGAGGATTCTGTTTTTGGTGTTCCAAAATGGACATGTCAAGGGATTAGAGGTCCAGCAATTGCTGTCAATCACAGTGTTTTGCAGAAATTGCTTAGTTGTGTTCCCTTGGACCGAAGATGTTTCCCCAAACAACAGTTTCCCCCAACAACAGTACCCATTTGCAACGCATTCTGCCTGCAAAAGGTTTAGAAACTTGCAGGAAAGTTTATAAACTTTCTTGCGTTTTTGGCGGTTTCCTGCAACAAGGCAACACCCTGGGAAGTTTTCATGCTCATGGTATCCTTAAGGGGGGGGGGGTTGGAAGTCTCGGGGGGGTGGGGGGGAAGGGGGGGTGGTTGGAAGCGTCAGCAGCGAGATATGACTCAGCCAACTTTGTCAAAATTCTTAAAGACTTCTCACCCCCCCCCCCCCCCCGTCCCTCCCCAGCCCCAGGTGCCCAGGTGTTGCCTTGTTGGAGGGAAACCGTCAAACCCTTAGCTTATAAAATTTCCTGAAAGTTTGTAAACTTCTTTGCTGTTGTTACTCTACATGACTTGTCGCCCACAAAAATGTGCAACAACAGCACAATTCTTGCGTATATGTGCTCACACCCCCTGTCTTTAAATAAGAGGATTGTAGATTTTTTGAGAAGTGGAAAGGTAGGCCCTGTGGGGGGGGGGGGGGGAGCATACATTTTTTCAATATATATATATATACATTAGATACACTATGTGTCTCTTTGCAGGTGTATGTTTCCGCATGTGTATTGACTCTTACTGGGGTTCATAGTGAACAGAACATTGTGGCGATCGGATGCGTGCCCTACGCATCAGCCATGGTTTGAGGTGATGCAAGTAGCTATGACGCTGCTCTCTGAGATCCAGCACCTTGGGTTGAAGGTTGGCAGATTGGGTCTTTTTAACAAAAAGCACCCGTTTTGGTTGGCTTTCAACATCACTTTTGTGCAAAAACTATTTCCCTTTTTTGGTTGCTTTGCAACATCACTCCTTTTTTCCCCCCAAAACAAGCCTCCGGGGTTGGAATCTCGTTTTCTTAGCTTGTGCGATCGCTTGGTTTTTGGGTTCTCGGGCTCTCCTTGGTCGGTTTTCAACATCGCCAGTTTGGCCCAGAGGTCACGTTCCCGTTGGTCGTTACGGATGATTGTCATTACGGGGAAACATAATCTTCCACTTGTTTTTTTAATCTTCCCTGTTGGAAGCTGACTTTGGACCAAGATTCCGTTTGCGTAAGAATATGTGTTTTTTTTCCCTTGTTGGTTTTAACGGGAATCTATCACTACTGGAAATAGGTTTTTTTCCCGGGGGCGAATAAGCAAATGGAAGTAATTGGTGGAGCATGCCACAGAGCTGAAGCAGTGCTAATGGGCGCATCGGCATGCCGAATACCAGGGTTGATGGTTGGCACCGGGAGTCCCATAAGGAGCCGGGGCGCTTATCAACCGGAAAAGCAACAACTCCGGGGTGATCAACCACGGTCAAGAGTACTTCGCGCGGCCACTCTCTTTGAGCATACCTTCGTTCATTGCTAGAGTTAACGCAGCTTTGGGCCCTTTTAGCCTTTGGGTGTCCGTGCACTTGTCCTTTGCAGCAACAACAAGTTGTTCGCTTCTTGCGGGGGTCGGATCTGTTTGGCCACGCAATGACTAACCAAAGGCGTGTTGACCAAGAAGAATCCTTTCTCGCACCGGAAAGACGCGAACGGCACAAGACCAATTGGGCAACTCGGTCTCATGCTGTTTGTGAGGAGTCATAAGCCGCCCTTGAAGCGATTAAGATTCGAGGAAGCTTGGCCCTTGCTATACTGTATCTGTTGACCCCAATATCCTGCTGGCATATACAACACGGCAAGGGCAACTTGTTTGAATTCGGTTTCCGTCTGTGCTTGAGCAACCTTTGAACAGCCGCATTGTCAAAACCAGTTGTGAGCTGGTGAAGCAGTTGTTTTTTTCAACTTGTTACCCTCCGAAATCTTTGGAAGGGGGTGCAAAGGGATGAGATTCCTCAAGGACTCCAGGGCAACAAATGTTTGCCGGGTCATATCCAACGAGCCCCAAGGGCCAAACCCACCCCCGGAACAATTCGCCACTCCGCCCTCGCCGTTTGAGCTAAGATCGGAGCTTGAGCTGAGGTTCGCGATCGGCCAAATCCAAGATGTCGGCCTCATTTTCCTGGCGGGCATGGCTACCTGGCAGAGTCTTGGGGAGACCAGGTCTTTTGGTTTCTTCTCGATATCGGGGGAAAAGGAGGGGGGGTTGATTGGAGCCTCCAACAGAAGCGGAGCTCCACAGCTAAGAGGCGATGGAAAGGTGGACCAAACGCCTAGCTTGGAAATAAATCGGATGGCCTTGCAACTTGCAAAAGTCTGATCTCTTGTGAGGCATTGCTTCGATGGAGCATGCGCCAAGCCCAATACAGAGCCATCCATATTGGTTTTGCCGTTTTGCCTAACCCAGGTTGCTTTGCCTAGCCCAGCGTATTGTGCCTAACCCAGGTGGTGTGCACAATCGTAGGGCTGTGGCACAAACCGAATACTTTGGCCTTCCTGACCTGCCATGTGGAATTGTTCGTGCGGGCGGCCGCTCTCGGAGACTGTGACCCCACGTTTGGGCGGAAACGAGTTTGGCGATTCAGAGAGGCTGACCTCCCCTGGTCGTTGCAATGCTTGCTTTGGTGCATTTTGCTTGGATGTCAGAACTTTAACTTTTGCCAACCAATGGGTTTTCCGTATCAAACCACTCAAAGTTCTTCGCAGATTTCGCCAGCGAGGTTGCAGTTCTGCAACATGTTCCCATTCAGGGTTGCGCAAGTTGCTGGATGGCCGGTCAGCGGGGCGACACCTTTCATCGTTATGCATCCTTGTGTCTTTTTTGAGGGTGCCGTACCCATGCCCTGTGGCTTTTAAGGGACACTAGAAGGGAACCGGCTTCGCCCCTTTTTGGCAAGTCCCCTAAAACAAGGCAGGCCCAGATCAGGGCATCATTCTGTTGGAGCAAAACCAAATACGACCATAGGATCCAACTTCCTCCTGAACCTTCCCCTTGCCTGGTTTCCTCAACAGGCCGTCATACGGCGTTGGTCTAGGCTAGCCAAATACCCGCCGCAGGTGAGGAACATCGTCCACATGGGCCACGCAGACAGAGCTGTGAGTTCCGACGGGCTAATGGCCACGAGCATGTGGACCTGCTTTTGCAGCCCCCTGGCGGAATATGGCTAGGTCCCCCAGTAGTACCCTTTTACCCTTTGGGGGGAGGGTGCCCCTACTAAAATAGACTACAGGAAAAAGGGTACCCTTATTCTAACCTCTCTACTGGAGGACCTACAAGACAGCAGCTTGTCGTCCCTTCTTCCCTTGCGATCTTCCGGGACTCCACCGTGCCCCCCCAAAACGGGTGGCGCCATTTCAGTCCTGGCCGCGACGAGTCCTGGACACGCGGTTGCGGCGGAAATTTGC